CGTCACGTCAGTGAGCGCGAGTCAACGAATGTATCTTCCCAGGTCACGTCACGTCACCGTCACGTCAGCGTCGCGTCAGACCAAGCCTGTTAGTCCTTCGTCGAAGTCACCGTCACGTCACCGTCGCGTCGTGCGACCCATCCGTGGACCATACTCCAGGAGCCCTAGGGTATCTATATATGTATATTAAATTATGGTCCTTGATCCCTGTTGTTCTTTGCAGACTGCCCCAAGATGTTCTGCAACAAGTTAAGATGGATCCCTCTGGTCCTTGCACCATCTGTAGGTTTTCATGGGTTTTTCAGCTTCCAAAGCATTCGTGGGGCGAATCCACACCGGTCCCGGACAGGAAGCTTCGTCTGAGCCGGGGACCAGCCTCATCATCGGCACCGGCCTCGCAGGAAGCGTCATGGAGCCGACCTGGCCGGACCACTTGCAGAATGAAAAGACGTCGGTGGACCTCCTGAGGTTCGGTGGTTGGGGTGGGTTTTGGGGGTCTAACCACCTTCTGAGGAGATGGTTGGAGCCCTAGGGAACAGTCTTAAACAGTCTTGGGGTTTGGGAACCAGGCCCAGACCCCTGCGTTTCGGTGTCGGGTCCGACCCCTGCCATAAAAAAGCCCGGGCCCGGATTCTTAGGGTTATGTAAAGCGAGGGCGGTTCGGTCTCTGCCTCGCTCACGATCACTCGCATCTCGCGGGGACTAACACACAAACGGTGCAACAGCGACCGAAGGGGTGAGTAAGACACCGAGGTCCAAGCGGAAGCACACAAATTGCGGAAAGTATGGAGAAGTAACTAATTTGGCCAGGGGTCGAAAACAGCACGTGGGTCGTTTTTCACGTGATACCAGTAAGTCGAAGGTCCCGATGAAGAGAGAGAGAGACTATGCTGTGCTTGTGGTGTATCAGGATGCACCGGGGAGCGGAGCGTTTTGGCAAATCAAGAGGAACATCAAGATGGAATGGTGGATTCCCTGCACAAGTGTTCAGGTGCTGGCTGAGTCCCTCATCGTGATATCTGGGCGTCTTGAGAGGCCATACTTATGTGTTGGAAGTTGGGGAAGCGAGGAACATCCAGTTTTTGTATACTTGGGGAGATATGTAACCGCCGAAAGAGTTAAAACCCCTGTAAACCATGAATTTCTAGTCTTAAATAGTCTTAAATCCCTACGGCTGGTCAAGTACCTTATCCCTTCGGCTGGCTAAATAGTCTTAATACCTTATCAAAAAGGGGTATGAAAGGCTTATTTGGCCGTGGCAAAGTAGACTTCCTCTCTCTAGGCTCATTGACTTGCGGGCTCCAGTCGGACTGGGGTAGGTTTAGATGATCTAAAGTTACCTTCTGAGAAGGTATGACTGGACCCCTAGGGTATGTAAAACGATGGTGGTTCGCTAAAACACGTTCATAAAAAAATCAATGGGGGTGGTTGGGAAAATCCTAGATATGGTCCTTGTTTTGGAGAAACATCCGGCTGACCCTCCCCAAATGCTACTGGACTTAAAGAAACTTACTGTATCATGAACATGTCCCAAAAAAGCCCCGGTTGTGAAGTATTCGAAGAGTATGTTTTCCACTAAGTGTCCCTACAGGTGATCCACTGACTTCCAGAGTATTCCTGAGTAGGAAAACAACCTCTGACTTTACACTATAAACCCCATTAGCCATTCCCCCCATCACTTCCCGCCAACCCCCCCATAACAAAGCCCTAGGGATCCAACTACCTGCTCAGAAGGTGATTTGAGACACTCTTATGTAGGTTTTGAGGGTCCAAGTACCTTCTGAGAAGGTACTTGGATCCCTAGGGAAGAATCATTACACTCCAGGTCCATTTCTGCAAAGAACATCAAAGAACCACCTGCGAAGTCCTGTGACTGGCAGGTAGAACTCATGGTCCTCCCGGCCATGCCCATCCCCATACACTCCGTGGGACTGACCCCTCAAACCACCCCAACTGATCGGCATATATGGCATACATGGAGTGTATGCCTATCCACATCACCGTCTTTTCAGGGACCTCTGTTCCTGACCGGTCTAGACTCCGTCTTCCGTCTTCCGCGACGCGCGAGCGCGGAGAACCTGTGGCATGCCACAGGGGCCCATCTGGGGCATGACCTGGGGACACGTCGCGTTCGGTGAAGCTCTCTGAACATCGAAAGGAACGAACGGATAGCAGCCAGCGATGTGGACTTTGAGGGCAGATGTTGGCTTCACAAGTAGGGTTTCACCAGTTGGGGTAGGGTTTCACCAGTTGGGGTGGCAGCATCTGGTTGAAAGCATCTTTCTTCTGGCCACGCCAACCTGGTCATGTGTCATCCAACCTGGCCCTGCCATGTTTGAGCCCAGCAACATGGATCCCCCGAGCAAGCGGATGGATCCGCCAGCCGTCCGGCAAGGCACTTGGAGGAGTGCGGCAAGTTGGTGCAGCACCACATGGAGGGTGATGGAGGAACGTGTTCGTTATGTGCAACATTTCAGGTGCTCCAAACATGTCCGGAATGTTCTTCAACATCCCAGGACCCACTGGCGAATTGGTTCATGGACACCCCGAATCACCCGGGTGTCCCCTAGGAGTGAACCCGAGTCCAGGAACTTCCTTCCCTTGTGCCGCATGCTGCCGCACCCTTGAACTTTCCAGCTAGGAAATTCACCATTGGGATCTCGGAAATTCTCAGGTTCCCTGATTGCATATTCAGAATCTGGTGGGTGAGAAAATCAACATGTTGAGGCTTTCTTTTCTCATCAGCCACTGGCGGCCCAGTTCTGGCTCTCTTGGGCTCTCCGTGCGGAGCTGGCGGCCATGCCGGGCGGGAGCGGCCGCGGCGTGGGCACGGAGGAGGCGAAGGGCAACGGCTGCGCGTGTTGCACCTGCTGTGTGGAGGGCTTGGAGGACTTCGAGTCGGGCTATAGGGCTCCAGTCATACCTTCTTTCGAAGGTACTTATAGACCATCCAAACCTGCCCCAGTCCCCACCTTCTCATGAGGTATTTGGAGCCCGCAAATCTATGAGTCTGGAGAGGAAGTCTACTTTGCCACGGCCATCACCCTTTCATACCCCTTTTTGAGAGAAGAGGCAGAGGGTAGGCGAGTCTCAGATGATCCAGGTGGGATCCTCCACAGGAAGCTGAAAAACCTAGCGTGCTCGGGACCTGAAGTCCCAGCAGGTAGTTTGGGATGATCCAGCACCATCGGTCCGGGTCCGGGTTGCTTCCGAACACATTCGGGTCCGGGTTGCTACCTCACCGTGAACGGTGAGCTTGACTGTCATTCAAACTCCCTGTATGCAGTGGTCAGTGACAAAGGGAACTTGTCACTTGATGTCACTTGAGCGTTTCAACATGTTTCAACTGTTTGTTCTCTCCCCTTGCACCCTTTGCTGCAAAAACGCGCAGTCAAACGTGTTTTGCAACCAAAATGCACTGGAACTTAAACTCTACGACTCAACGTGCAAACGACTCTACGTGCATCTCAACATAGCTCAACCTGCCAACCATTTCAACACATCACGAACCACGCAACCAACTGGTTTGGAACAAACTGGACTCTTGATTAACAAAACCTTCCATACGAAATCAGGTGAAGAGGCTTTGCAATCCAAATGGGGTGTTTTATAGAAACATAATATGGTTCAAGAAAATAGTTCTGCATGCATCCCTCAAAACAAAGTTGCAATAGAATCCAGGAGAACTCTTGCCGCTTACCCATTTGGATGTTGTGGAACTCATGAATGCTTGGGAAAAAAGGCCCGACTTTGTTTGTACCATGATGATCTAAAGTGGTGGTGTTCCACCATAGTTGTTGGAAATTCACTATATATTGACTATTGGCAGTTGCGACGGTAATTAAGGGTGAACCAACGTGCTGTCACATTGAATTCAAACGAAAAACTGTAAAACAAATCGTTCGCACAAAAAGGACCTGTGGGGTCTTCACCCTTTTTCAAACAGCATTCAACATCAAAAACAATCAAAAAACACAAGAGACTTGCAAACGCGCCTGCGCAGGCTGTGCCGGTGGCAGCTGAGGCTGGCTTTGGGCTAAGAACTGCCTGTCCCAAATGAAGCCAACGGTAGGAAGCTAAAGTCCCACTCCATCTATGAAAGGTGCGCCTGAAAGAGCAACCCGGCGGCCTGATCGGCCCATCTCTGCCCCCCAAAGGGTATTGATATTTTTTCCGGTGATGTTTTCAGATTTTTTCCAGATTTTTTTTTCACGTCTCTTCCCTTACTGTTTTTGCTCTTGCTTCTGCTGGGGGTGCTTTACAAGCACTAGGAGCAGCAGACAGGGCAGGGGACGAAGCACCAAAGCCAGCGTGACAGTGACAAAGGGAGGGAACAGAAATCCACTTACTAGGGACTTCTTTGCGGTTGTGTTTTTTCTTCACTGGTTTTGGGTTTCTTAGGGTTCGGTTTCTTGTCTTTAGGGTTTTTTTAGAGGTTCTTCCGGAAAAGGCATTCCACTTAACGAAGGAGAAGTAGGAGGAGAGAGGAACTATAATAGGGACTTTTCTGCGGTTGTTTTTGGGTTTCAGTGGTTTCGGGTTTCTTTGGGCTAAGCAAAGTAGAAATCCACCTTTGTGGCAGTGTCAACGCAAAGAAAATAGTAGTTGCGGTAACTGTGGTAAGACTCGTAGCGGGGTGGTCCGAGTGATAGAGGTATTGGAAATAGTAGGGGTGGTGGACGGTAGTGGCAACTAGTAAAAAAGAAACGGGGCGCGGCGCCTCCCCCGCAATGCAAACTTGAGAGAGGAGGGGGGTGAACGAAAGGTAGCAGGGAATCAGGCGTAATCCGGGAGGAGGTGAGAGGCCCCCCCACTTGTTTGAAGAGAAGTGAGTGAGCGTGATGAAAGAACAACTAATGCACAAACGCTTGACAAAACCTCCAGAAGCTGTAGCGGTCTAGCGGTTTCAATACAGGTTGACGTGCCTTCAAAAGGAGTCACATATTTCTCAAATGCAACTTCGGATTTACATAGTGACGTGCGGCGACCCTTTAAATTGCGTGGCCGCAGGCCATGCTTGCAAACAGGACGTGCTCAAAAACACTGGTATTTACGAGGTTTCGTTGCCGTCGATCCACAGCCGCGGCAAGGTCTAAGGCCACGCTTGAAGACAGGAGGAGCTGAAAACACTGGTATTTACGGTATTTTGTAGCCGTCGATCCAAAGGCGCACCACGGTTGAGCGCTGGAAAAGCGCAGAAAACCGTGTAAATACCGGCGTTTTCTGCCGGGAAGGTGCACAAAACCCTGTAAATACCATAGTTTTGTGCAATTTTGAAGCCTCCAAAAGCCTCAAAAACCCTTTCTGACAAAATCTTTCCTGGTTTTTGGTCTTTTTGTGGTCATTTTTCTAACCGAGGCGCATCAAAAACCATCGGTTTTTGCGGTGTTTTTTGCCGGACAGCCACAAAAAACGCTGTAAATTCCATGATTTTTGGTCACTGCTGAGGACTGGAAGAGCTGAAA